CATTCCAACAATGAATAGCCAACTGTTCAAAATGCGAGAAAGGGAAATAGGTAACGGTATTGAAAAGGTAGCAAAAGCAAGTTTTGACGTGTATTTGGAACAGGAAATGGAAAATGCAGAAAAATCTAACAATCAGGGGGAAGTAGATAGTATGCCGGGAATTGCAGTATCATATGACATGGGTTGGACGAAAAGAGGCAAAGGGCACAACTCACACACTGGTCACGGAGCATCAATTGGCCGTTTTCACACTAGAGAACGGACAAATCATCTGGCATTTGTTCGTCGAATTTGAATTCGAGAAGGCCATATGCCGAAAAGTTGTCCGTCTTATGAGCGCAAAGAGAACTGGCACTAGGTCTTGTTGTAAAGCAAAATGGCTGCCGCCGTGTTGAAACTTCCAATAAAACCTCGCTCTGTTGCTAGTCCCATTTCCTCGCGGCGAGAAAATGGAACATTTCACCGTCTGATATGAATTTAAGTCGTACTGTCGTCGACTTGTTCGTCTCGACAGACAAATCGCCTTCCAAAAATCGTCTTTCAAGACGGCCAAATATCAGCGCTTTGTTCGTCGAAAAATTTGTTCGTCCCGTTTTCACATCAGACGATTTGTTCGTCTAAGACGATTTGTCCGTCCAGACGATTTGTCCGTCCTCTAGTTTGAAAACGGCCAATTGGGTTTAAAAACTGGAAAGGTTCTGTCTTATACAACGAGATGTAAAGCCTGCAGAGTATGTGAATCCAGCAAAAAAAATCAGGAAAAGTGGCCAAAACACACGACTGTAGAAAAAGCCATGTAGGGTCCTCGAAGTCCATGGAGAGAGATGTAGCAGTTGAGCTTTGGACTAATGCTCTTGACAGTGGAACCAAATTCAGTACATATGTTGGAGATGATGATAGTACCACTATTGTTGATATTTTAAACAAAGTGCGTAGAAGATTGAAAAGTGGTCAGACACAATACATACCAAACGTTCTCTCGCCACTCATCTTTACAATCTGAAAGATCGCTTCAAAAATCCAAACTGTTAAACACTAAGTAACAAAGTAATAAGTTACTATGCAAAATGCTTCAGTTATGCTGTAACTCAGAATTCTGGAAATCCAGAATTCTTAAAATCAAGTATCAACTCCATAGTACCACATTCATTTGGGGAAACACAGTTCATGCAATATATCCTGGTGTGGTTTCAAAAAATGTCCTGAGGGATACAAGCACACAGAACTGAAAAATGCCCTAACCAACATCTTTTCAGAATATGCCACTGATATTGTTGTCAAGAAGCTTTCCCCATGCGCCAATTCTTAATGGAATGAAAGTCTAAATAATACCATAGCAACAAAAACGCCAAAACCCGGTATTAAGGAGGAAGTGCAAGCAATGACTTTAGAGTAGCCTGTGGTGTGGCCCAAAAAAATCTTGGCTATGGCTATGTCAGTGCAGCGTTAGAGGTACTGAAAATCTAACCTGACAATTTTTGTACATCACATGAACATCTGATGGACAAAAAAGTGTTAAGTGACAGAAACCGGAAGGCTATGAAAAATTTCAAGTATAGGAGAAATCAATTACGGGGTCAGAAATCCAGTCAAAATAGTAAAAAAGAAGCTAAGGAGGGAAAACTTATGAATCTGCAGTTGCTTTGAATCTAGATACAAGTGTCAATCAGCCTACACCAAGAACTCACACTCACATTGAACATCTTTTGGAAAACATTTCTGATAATGAGCTTCACGAGTGTGAAAAACTAGTACCATCCTACTATGCTCAACCTGATCTGCCAAAACTGACTTATGATTCAAACCAAACTTACACTTTTTGTTGTTTTTGACACTGAGACTACCTGCACCGGGGAAAAATACAGAACTCTGTCAGCTGTCCGCCATTCATGAAAATCAAGTGTTTTCAAAGTACATTCTACCAACAGGAAATGTGAGTACTGGAGCTTCACGAGTGAACAAACTATCTGTTCAAAATATCAATGGAATCAGAAAATTATTGAAAGAAAACCAACCAGTGGAAACTGTCTCTCTTGATAAAGCGCTTCAGGAGTTTCACACCTTTCTTAGTCAAGTAAAATGTTCATCCAGAAGGAATCTTGGATAGTTCTAATAGGGCATAATTCATCAACATTCGACACTCCAATAGTTCTCCGGAGAAGCGAGGAAGGTTTTCGCAGCAAACTAAGCAACCTGAATGTTTATTTTGGCGACAGTCAAATCCTTGTCAAACATCTTTTGAAAGATAAACACCCGGCATTGCAACTCAGTGAATCGGCATCTTTCAAATTAAACCAATCAGCACTTTACTCCCATCTCTTTAAAGAAGAATTTAAAGCCCACGATGCCTTGGAGGACGTTAAGGCACTTAAAAAATTCTCCTTCATTCTATACACTTTAACTGAACAAGGAATACTCGTGGATTGTTCTGGAGTTATTAGTGTTGAACAAACAATTGCCAGCATGTCGTATTTGGATCGACGCCAAGAAATTCTTCAGACATTCAGCGGAAGACTTCTCGACCCCAGGGACGACAATGGTGCAATAAAGCAATCAGGGACTCAGAAGATTACAGGAAGTGGGCTTTGCTATTCACATCTCAAAGAGTTATATTAAAAGTTTGGAACAAAGGGCTGCTTGCGATCCTCAGCAGGCCTCCTTCCCAGAGCACAGCGAGGAAACCTCGCGTCACTCGAACAAAGCGTATTCTCGATGCCATTGCAAACCACTTTCAGGAAACATTTCCGAAAGAAGAATAGTTCCTTTGGTTCCATTTTTGGTAAATTGTAACTTCATGTTTTTCCATTTAACCACATTTAAACTGCAGAATTGAACTGGCCAGCACGTGTTGTGCTTCTGGAGGTGCTTAATGACAATGTACGTACCTCGTGTAACATTAGCCAGATTTAAATGACCGAAATTCTCCAAAACGTAGCAACGAAGCAAGCGTGTTAACGGCACTTCGAAAAATAATTTACAGGTCCACTTGAACGACTCATTAAGCTGATGAAATCGACCGAAAATCGAGCGAGCGACTCTTGGAAACAAATCAAGGTTTTGACCAGCGGATAACGTTTGCGTATACGAAAAGCGGATCTTGTAAAGGCCAGATTTTGGAAACGCGCGAGACGCGCGTGGATTTTCTTTAGACGCGAAGTGAATTATTTAAAAAACAAGTCCGGGACCCCACTATTTTATTTTAAAATTGGGGAGTGTGGACTAAGAGAAAAGTACTGGTAAATTTTAAAAAAAAATTCTCTGGACCGATTTATAGCGACTCAAAAATTACGGTTTTAGCAATTACATAAAATCTGCTCCAGAGATTTTTTTTAAACTCTCTATAATTGCTTCCACTTCCGTGTAAAATTGGATAAAATTAAGAAAAATAGGTGTCACCGAGTTAATTTTTGCGCTATTAGCGTTAGAAGCTCCATGATGGGTCTTATTTACAACCATATGCTGTTGATATGGTAACAGCTGATGACGCCATGTGATTATGTTTTGGTTCACTGATGATCGAGCTAGTAACTGTTACCAAGAAATTGCAAGAAAAATTATTATTTTGTTTTATTGAATCCCTCAAATGTAAAAGTGCTGGAAAACCTTAAAACTATTGTGAGCCACTTTAAGCACATTTGAAGTTGAAGTTCATTTATTTGTTTTAGCAGGTTGATTAATTTGGCAGCTGTAATAGCTGATGTGGACCTGCTGTCATCCTCGCGAGACGAAAGAAAAATTGTGTTTCAAGCAATTTTATTTCCCCTAATTCTGACTCATTCGTTTGCAGATGCCACGCTTATTCTCTTCCAATCAGACGCAGATTTCCATATATTTTCTGTCATTCAATCTTCTAGTACACGAACCATGTTTGAGGGTCCCCTATACCCTTCTACAAAACTCATTTAAGTAAAAATATTTGGCTTTTTCACGCATCACGAATAATATCCTTAACTCTCTCACGTTCACGCGAAATTCGATAAAATCACGTTGAATTTATGTTTTTACCCTTCTAGTCTTGATAAGTCTTACGCGACAAAAGATGATGTAATGACTTATTTTATTTGTTTAAGAACTATTAGTGGTCTGTTTAATGACTTTTATCGATCCATATCAAATTCATCTCCTGTCAAAACCCTGGTCAAAACCGAACCATAGCCGTACAATGATGCATATCCAAAACAATAAAATAACTGGTAATTCATCACGCAAAACAAAATGGTTCACGAATCACGTTTAATTCAACTCTTAATTCACGGGTTACGTTTAACTAAAAAAATTCGTTCACGTGGACATGAAAAGCTCTTAGTATTCTCAATCACGATTCAAAAATAAAAGGGGAACCTCATGTTTGTCAAGTTTAGTCCAGAAAATCTGTACCGTAATCCAAAATCTGATTTTATTTTGAGGCAGCCGAGTATTCTTAACTTAGCATTATTCATTACGCAAAGGGCGCCTCAATCTCCTTCGATTTGTGTACTCGTTTTCCTTAATTCAAAGTAGGCTCCCAATCTACGTTAAAATTCCCCCACCTCGGTGATGGTCTTCCTGATAGAAAGTAGCGTCCAGAAACTCTCTTGTTTAAAAGGACGTTCCTAAGTTTCTAAGTATCTCGTCTCGTCTCGACTTATTACTGAAATCCTGCGATTTCTCTTCTCAGTATTGAATTCTTTGAGTTCTTCACCTTGAATCGAAACAACTGATGGTATACGAGAAAATCCTCGCCATATATATTTCCTCGCACAAACAACGACGATGCAAGCAACCACCTTTCGTCTACTGCTCATGCACAATATTACTATAGGCTTACAATTTCTGGCGGGCTGCTTTGCAAGTTGTGAAAACAATCGTGCAAGAGAAGTAGCTTCTCCAGCCTCCGCTCCCCCACTGCAACCTCGTTTCCAGGGCCTTTTTCCCATCTCCAACTAAGGGAAAAGGCCCTGGGAACGAGGTAGCCCTCACTGGTTTACTGCTGATGATAAACACCCACTGGAGTCGAGGAACCGAAGTATAGAAGGTTTTGAGATTCCGTTGGTAATAAACTCGAGGTTAAGTTTCCCCCTCCTCCTTGAGGTCACGGACTGTGGAATTAAGTTTCGTTTAGGGATAACAAGGCAGCGATTCACGTGGAAATCTATTCACTTCCGGCTTCGTCCTAAAACCGAAAGCACAATGGCGGCTGGCCAGAATATACCTGATCTTGGCGGCTATGATTTGAAGTTTAAAAGTAAAGTTCCCGACGATTTTCATTGTCCTGTGTGTCAGCTGCCAATGAAAGACCCTAGACAGATTGAAAGATGCGGCCACAGACTTTGTACCATCTGCTTAGAGGGCCTGTTTAGGTAATAAATATTGACTAACTGACCTATCAATTGTGCATAGTGAACAACATTCACAGTAACTACATCGAAGGTTGAGCAATGTAGTCATGCGCTCGTCGTTTTACTTCAAGAGTTCTTTGCATTTGAATTATATCGAATTCTTTCATTGAAATTCTGATGTAGATGTCATAGCAGACAGACTAGGCATTGGTTCTTGATAAGCTTCTCAAGTTTTCAGAAATGATACCTTGAAGAAAATGACTTTGAATATAGGGGGAACAGCTGTCATTCGATGAGCTTGATGATTTAAATGAATTTTTATTTCTTAGGCAACCTTCTGCGAGATGCCCAGTCGACAGAGAGCCACTGTTACGTGAAAAGGTGACTATATTAAGGAATGTTGTTTATAGGAACTCAGGATTGCACATTCTGCTTACGGGTTAAATCCATTTTAAATTCGTACTTCGTAACGTATGATAGTCTGATCTGATCAAACGTGAAATGTTTTCTATGGATTACAACAAAAATGATGTGTCTACTTTAATTGTTAACGTTGTTATTACATACCGGAATGTTACATATAAATATTCATGTTTTGTTGCTTGGCGTTTGTTTGTTTTGCGCAAAACAAAACTACTCTATGACTAGCACTGTTCCGTGAGTGTGCGTTGGTTACGAGATGGTAAAGAACTAACGAGGACGGACAACTTAACAAATCGACAGTTGTTTAGCGTGGTCGGTCTGTGCTCTTATCGACAACGGTATTTGTCATCACAGTGGTCAAAAAGGTTGTGGACTCACGAGACTGTGCCTCGTCAGTCCGCAACAAATTTATGTGGTGCGCTTTTTGCTTCTGAAGTCCTTGAAGGTGTTTAGAAATTGTAAGGCAAGCATTATTTATTTAATTTCGGAGCAACTTCAGAATACCCGTCCACATCATTTACATGTGTCGGGAGGCTTTGAAGAATGAAGCATAATACAATAGATGCTATTCTTAATCAATGACATGTAAATAAGTGGCCGGGTATTCTGCGGTCAGTTTCTAACATTTCGTATCACCATCAGCAACCATTGTCTGATCGCGGAATTTTGAGAGGTATCTAAAATATTTGTCGCTGTGTGACCTATAACGTAATCTAAAAGAATGATGCCTTTCTATTGTCACTGTTGGCAAAATTTTTCTGGGAGACTCAGGCCTTTTCTGCATTTGGTTTAATACGCTTTTAGTCTGAAAACGGGAAAAAGCGACACAGAAGCTAATTTTTTCCTGAAGGTTGTACGTCACACAAGCTTGTAATATTGAAATTCGAACCCCGTGACAAATTGTCGGGTAAAACTATGTGAAAATGGCGGTGCCCTATAGTTATCTGAGAAAGTATGTCACGGACTGATGAAACCTTTTTTGGTGTTCATTTCAACACCAGAAAATCCTTTACCAGTTCTCGTCACAATTAAGATTTCTCCGCTCTAGTTGGTTTCGTATTTATTCGCTATTAACTTTTGTTAACAACCGTACAGATTGGATTGCTAGCTCAGATGATCAGCTACAGGAATTAAGGTTACAGCGCTTTTAGCCTGTCTTGTCGAAGAAGTAAACATCCGCCTAAAATCTGATTAACAATGACAAGAGATCTCATCCGACCGTTGAAGTAGGTAATTGATCACTTAGTTTGATACCTTGTTGTCTTTAATAAAAGATATTTTCAGATAACGCATGTCAGCGCCGAATTCTGGATCTTCACGTTGAGTGTTCATTTGATGGGTGTTCATGGACAGGAGAACTGCGTGCTATGGAGGTATCGATATTCACATTATGTTTCAAAACATTCAGGGTTTTTCATGAATTTTACTTCTTGTTACTCTGTTAATGCTGTTGGTAATATAAATAAAGTCTATTATTATTATTATTATTATCATTGTTATTATTATGATTATCATTATTATTATTATTATTATTATTATTATTGTTATTACTATTATTGTTGTTGTTGTTGTTGTTGTTGTTACTCTTATTTCTGTTGTTGTCGTCATTAAGTATTCCCAGCTTTGTAAATCCTGCCATGGGCCCCTCTAGCGTCATCGCCTTCTGTCTCACCGCTCATTCTGACTCTTTTTCGTACCTGTTCTCTTGTATCTTACTTTACTGTTGAGAGGATTTTTGCTCTTCATCCCCTGTAATTTTCTCTAACGATGACCTCTCCCTCCCCTTTTCATTAAAATATTTTATACAGAATACGATGCAAGATACTTTCCTATATCTTTCTTGTTCGAAACATTTCGCGATCCCCTTTTTTCACCGACATCTTGTTATTTGATTCTGAGATTTTGATTTACAGAGACATCAGTCAGAATGCCTTTTCAAAGTGGTGGAGTGTTCGAATGCAGGATGCAAAGAGAGGTTAACTAGAACTGACATAAACAATCATAAGGAATTTGATTGTCCCTGGAGAGAAATAAACTGTGATTATTGTCGAGTAATTGTCATCATGAAAAACAAGCAGGTTTGTTGTGAGACTTCTGTGTCGAAGAAACGCAATGAGAGAGGTAGATGTAGAATTCGTAAGAGGTACTCAAATTGTACAATATAAACCAAATTAACCTTTTAGTGTAATAGAAATAGAAATTTTTTCCTATTACACTAAAAATTGTTTCATCTTTAAATTAACCTGTTTGACAAGAATAAATCCAAATCTAACGTCCAAGGGTACCTCGTGGTAAGAACAAAAATTGGACATTGGAACATTTGATTTTTAATAATGAAATTAAAAAAAAGAGAGAAAATCCTGATGCTATCTGGCATTTTGGGATTTAGCCGTTATCATGGAAAGCCTGTATAAACTGTCTGTAATTGGATCGTTCTTTTTTTACAGTTGATAGAAGGAAATATATGGCAAATGGTTTTTTCGACGTCTAAAAAAATAAGATTTCGGGGAGAGATCATCGCTGTTTCGCAGTGTTTTTTCAGGAATGGATTTAGAAAAAGTTGACTTGAGGGAAGCGCAAGTTTTTGTTTGAATAACCTTAATTATGTAATAAAATCTACCGATGAACTTCTCTCTTTGCGTAAAGTATATTGTGAAATTGATATCGCGTAATGATGGTCTCAAAATGTAATGTCAGTATTGCTGTATGTTTTGCATAATTTCCAAATATTCATCAAACACACTTACCTTTGTAACCGTTTTCTTTCTATTTCCTTCAGCAACATTTTGGTGTCTGTCCAAAGTTCCCTATTCCATGTACGAACAACTGCGATTTGAGACACATTCCACGAGAAAAGGTAAACACTATTTCAAGTATAGAGCTAAGGCTGTAATCCGTTTCAAACACCATTGTGTGGAGCTCACTCGTAGTCTCACGCTAAACGCTCAACCCACCAGGTAAAATGATTGTCTTAAGCATGGCTTGCTTGGTAGTTGACCAAGCTATTAGGCAGCCTTCACACTTGGTGCTCGAGCACGGTGCCGAGTATGATTCTTGATGTACATTGATGTGTAAACACACCTTTTTTTTTCAAGTACCCACGGGAGCGTGCCCGTGCTATTAGAAGGTCTCGACCTTGTACTTGGGCACTGAGCCGGGCACTGTTATATTGGGTGCCCAGTGTCTGAATACAGTACCATTTTGTGCCGGTGCCCTGGCACTACTGATGCTCGAGCACCCAGTGTGAACTCAACCCTAGTAAGGTGGAGTTCTTGGGTTCGGTAATATTACGATAGAGAGTTATACTCATGGACGCAGAGCTCTAGTCATGCTAAAGTCTTCATTCAACTCGACTATTATTACACAGGAATCATACCTAAATGTGGATACGGGTATCACGTGATTACATTCCAGATTAACAGATCACATATGTACAGCATGTATATCTATATATAACATAAGAATATTAATTAGCTAAGGTAAGTGATTAACTAAAACACTACAGTAAGTAAGTAAGTCGAACCTGTATCGAGCGGTCACCCATTGGGACTGGCAGGATGACCTTTAAGTATAGGTTTGTTTGACTTACTTACAAAGGCTGCGTTCACATTTGGTCGGCCGAGCACTAGTGCCAGGGCACCGGCAGAAAATGCTGCTGTGTTTATACACTTAACACCCAGTTTATAATACAAGTAGACCGCTTGATACAGGTTGACCAGCAACTGACTTGCGTGATGTTCGTGCGTAATAGTGCGCAACAGTCCAAAGAAGAAAGAAAATTTGCAACATTGAGGACATTTGAACTCAAAGTGCTGACACTGATTTCGGGAGATAAACATAGAATGAATATGACTGACCCAAGAGATTATTCTTAGTTTTATTGGAGTGGCTCCGCTTTCAGTGAACGTTCGATGTAGGTTGGGACCTGGTCAAAGATGACCGCGACCGACAAATAAAAGTGAAAATGCGACTATTTAAGGGGAAAAAGTTACGGGACTTTGACAACCGACCGCTGAATACAGGGGGTGACCCCTTAGTTTGGTAATAATAATAATAATAATAATAATAATAATACCTTTATTTAGACATGATAATGTTTAAAGCTGAACAGCTTGTGGGGTCGTGTGTAAATCTAAATATACTGTAAATTAAATAAATTCAAATAATGATAGTCTTTGAGGAGAGGGGAAAACCGGAGTACCCGGAGAAAAACCACTCGGAGCAGAGTAGAGAACCAACAAACTCAATCCACTTATGACGCCGGGTCCGGGAATCGAACCCGGGACACATTTGTGGAAGGTGAGCGCTCTCACCACTACGCCAACCCTGCACTCTGGTGCCACTTAGTACAGGTCCGATCGTTGTAAGTGTGTAGGTTACATGGCTTTTTTTCATTACAACTGACCTTCTCTTTTTGGTTGCTTGTTTGCCTATTTAGCTTTATAATATAACTAAGTTCTCTTCCGTTCGTGAACAAACAAAACCCGTGGTAAAGTCTAAATTTTTTCTCCCGCAGTGTTATGAGCGTCATTTGGCTGTTCTCCCGCGAAAGATTACTTATTTTGTTTTTGTACCTTTTGTTTAGCTAGAGGTTCACATTCGAGATGACTGTCCTTCAACCAAGGTTCCTTGTGAATACAAGAACTTAGGATGTGGAGAAGTGGTAGGAGCTGGCTCTTCCACTTTTAGATATATTTCGTAGGTGTAAGATATAACCTAGCAAGTACAAAAGATCGCAAGTTTTATTCACATAGTGATTTTTCCCTGGTCACAGTAAGTTAAAATAATGACATGCAGCAAGGATAATGTTTGGCATGTTAATCCAGCGATAAAGTTGTACATTGCTTTAAGAGAGATTAGAAAAACCATCGAGAGCATTGCTCCTCAGTGATTCAGTGATGTTCTTATCAAACAATATAACAGCTTATATATAACAGCTTTATTGTAATTGTAATTCACATTATATTACATTACATTACAGTACATTACATTACATTACAATTGGGTTACAGTGGGAGGAACTTAATCCCCATATTAACTCTACCCTATATTTTAATTATAATAAATTACATATATCTATACAAATACTTTAACAATACATGCATGCTTAAGAATTTTAAAATTATGCTGTAGATATATAAATCATTTAAAATAGACTTTTTTCAATGTTTTTTTAAAGCTATCTACAGATTCAATAGCTTTAAAAAGTGACATTTTTAACCCATTAACTCCCAAGATGTGATCGTTAATTCTCCTCTCTAGTTGTTACACGTTTTTTGTATATTATTTATGAGAATTGGTGTTAGATCTGGATAACAACGTCTACCTGATAATCTTGAGTACTCTCACTACTTGATTGCTAAAGAACGTACAGATATTATAGGGAGAGGTTAAATGTTAATCACTTCTGGGTGTTTAAGGGGTTAAACTGTTAATCTCAGATGAATATATGAGCCGTGGAGCGTTCTCAAATAACCTACAGTGTCCTTTTCGTTGCTGGCTCCAACAAACTTTTCACAATCTTATCAGTGACCAATGTGCCCAGTCGCTATCCGAAGATGCGTGAGGGAGTGGCTCAAAAAAAGTCTAACAGTACAATATCATTTTCCAAACGTGTTCACGACCGATGACTTTTGACGATCTTAAGGCTGAATGTTTTTCCAATCAAATTCCATGCTTCTCAGAGGCGTGCCATAATTTCCTAACCGGCGGCGCTATACCACCGAGAAACTTCTCTTTCCCTCCGTCCCCGTCGCCAATGTACACGTACACACACAACAAAGTAAGGTATGCTGAGTTACTAACAAACCTTACGGTAAAGTAGAGGTTGGTTCCAGCAAGTTCAGGTGGTCATGACAAAAATTACAACACTTTGGAGGCCGAGCAGCAAAACAGGCACATATTAGATTTGTCATCAATTCAGTGTATTACGCAGAAATAAAACAAACTAAAAATTAAGTTGGCATATTAACCTGAAAAAACAATTTAAAACGGTAAATTTTTCTAGTAGAACCTCCGTGCAGAGGTTGTAGAAAAGAGAGCCAAACCGACAAAGTCAATCCCGCTATACATATCAACATTCTGACACTTTTTTATGAATTCGAATATGAGGAAAAATTATCAAGTATTTGAAGGATTTGATTCTCTCTTGCAGTTTCCGAGGAAGAGCACTAAATCCCACCTGGAGTTACACGCCGAACACCATTTAGACCTTGCTCTTCGAGGCCTAGAGGCGACTCGGTACCAAGTAGAAGACCTCCTCGGTGTTGTCAAGGATCAGTCGCAACAGATCGAGGGATTAAAGTCAAAAGATAAAAATCAATCACAACTGATAGAACGACTAAACCTCACAGTTCAGTGTCAAGCACAGCAGATTGAGCAATTGACCACCAATGCTAAAGATCAGGTAGAAAGAATTGTAGAAGCTAAGGCTATGATTAATTTTCTATCACAACAGATAGAGGAGCTCATGCTTGACAAAGGCAAGGGTGAAAACCAGCCGCAGAATGCAGAAGTAGGCAGAGAGCTTCAGCCGAAGAAGCAGTCGTTCGAGTCGCCGAGTCGTTTCCCTGTTTATCAAAGAAAAGAAGAAACAGGTAAAAGATGCAATAAATAGAGGGGATCGTTTTATCTGCTATTATTAGAAATAACATCGCATCTTCGGCAACGCGATTTATGCTGTTACTTGTTAGTAACATACCTGAAAAAACATCACAGAGAGTCAAGACGGACGAAATTTTGACAGCGCGCGCTAGTTGTTGTTTGCACTATTCTTACCGGATCTGCACCCTTGTTACATTTTCAGCCAATTAGAAGCGCAATGGACACCAAATTTTAACGGTTTAATTCAATTTTGTAATGGTTATCAGTTTCATTGTAATTAACCTTATATTAACTGTTAGAATAAAGATGGTTTCAATGCGTGAAGAGCCACCTCGTGCATGTAATCTACTGGATAATGACCTCTTACCGACCGAGCGCGAGGGCCGTATTGAAGAGTATTGGCCTGAGGTCTGGCATTACGGGCTGAGCGCAGCGCGGTCTGCACAAAAACGATCGAGGGCCAATGATCTTCACTAAAGCTCGTGCAAGCGAAGTCAGCATGTAGAATTTTTACATTTAGATCTTTTTAATATTTTGAATTTGCCGACTTTCGAGAACAAAAATCACTGAACGCCAAGATATTATCATTATTATCTTTAAAATCATCATCATCATCATTATTATTATCATTTTATCATTACTATTATTATCGTTATTGTTACTTTCAGTTTTTTCACCTCTACTGCAGGAGTCGAGATTACTTTTTTATTTTCTTATTGTTTTCCAATTTAGACAACTGTACACAAAATCCGCAGACGGATGTCTGGACTCCAAAACATCTCCTAAATCCACAATTTGGAAGTGGTTTATCAAGTTGTGCTACACATCATCCACGTTTATTAGTCAGGCCATTTGCACCTGATAACATCCGTGACATTAAGCTAGGAATGGAGCTTTTGGTTACTAGATCACGTGGACAGAGCGGACGTGGAACGGTGAGGTACATAGGAAAAATACTTGGTCGTAAAGACGATTATATTGGAGTTGAGTTGGGACCAGGTCAAGGTAAACACCCTACTCTAACTAATTTTAACGAGTTTGACCAGCAATTACTATCGAATATGTAAGTGCATAAGGCGGTGCCTTTATTGAAAATTTCGTGCTTTGGGATGAAATACTTAATTTGCTATTTGTCCGCGGTTTCCCATGCACTAAATATTATTCTCGGTCCTATGGGGCTTCAAACATACTACGCAACTCTCAAAATATCTACACAAATGACATGGTAAACGAGGGAATAAGCCGGTGTATACATCCGTTAGCAGACTTTCTGACTGATTATCAATCTGACCCCAGTTTTGTTTCCTCGTGTTTTAAGAGGGAAAGCATGATGGAACCCTTGATGGGCAGAGATATTTTTCTTGGTGAGTAGCGCAAAACCTTTATACTTAAGACTATTATACTTTTATTCTTTCTTGGTCTTGAACAAGTCAAGTCAAGTCAAGTCAATTTTTATTTAAACTCACACAGAATAGTAATTAGTACAAAGTAGTATTTTAAATATAACAAATCAAGAGATTGTGAGGGAAAAGAAATTTTCAATTGTAGGTTCATTGTCCAGAGTTTGGGACATCTGAATAGTTCGTGGAACTAACCGAGTAGGCGACCCAAACAATAATGAGTAGAAGGAATATTGATGCAAAATAGCTGTATTAGATGAAAAGTATTGCTTCATTAGTTAAATAGTAGTTAAAGATAATGTAATCGCAAGACATTAGGAATCAACAACAGCACAATGGAACGGTGAAATTTATTTCTCTAAACTCGTGCTCTTGTTTCTAAATTGCTTCCCTAAAATTCTCTTAGAACCCCTTCTTGTTCAGTGGTTCAGTGGAGGCAAAATTTGAATAAAATAGAAACTATTTTGAAGTCTTTTGTCTTCCCTCAGTACACCGAACCGAGGCATCTTCGTTTCCTTCAATGAAGTTGTCATGTGTTATTCTGCCTAAAATCTTTTGGCTCCTGTGCTATGTTCTATCGAGTAAAAAGGAACCGCCACAAATCAAGACATCAGTGTACATAAGCCGCAGGTGTAGCAAGCAGGACGAGAGTAACTGAGACTAGCCCAGGTGATTAGTATGGGATTAAAAAAAAAAAAAAAAGGATCGGACGAGGAAAACAAGGCGGTGAAAAACGACAGTCGAGGAGAACGTTACTGTTTGTTGTGTTAGTTATTTCGCGTGATTAAAGTGGTGTGCAACACAAGGAGAGTTCTTTTGACAGAATATAGTTGAAGTTTTGCTAATTCGAGCTGAGTGCTGTATTAAAAAGACCTGCAAAACAATATCGTCCTCAGGGTCTCTCCCCAACCTTCCTATCACCCCTCCCTCAAGTGCAGGAGGGAGAGAGATGTTCCTGGTTTCATAAACTATTTTTGAGCTGTATTCGCGGGAAATCGTGGCAATCGTTTTATTATCAAACATAATAAGTTGATAAAAGTAGACAAACTGCCTTTCCGTACAATAGCTCTTTGTCTGAGGAAATGAAGGGAGACTCTGAGAACTTGAGAAAACCTATAGTATTGCAAACTTCTCCCAGAGCTTCCACAATATACAGGAATATTCTCTTATTTTCGCGTTAAATCTATTTTGATTATTGTCTTTTGTTTTGATTTTTTATTCGCCCTCGCATATATCCTTTCCTACGATACAGAATACCGTTGTCATTCATTTGGGACATGGTTTCTCTTGCAGTATTTTCTCACCAATTTTCTAACCGGTATAGTAAAATCAGTCTTTACTGTAATTCTTCGCTCACGTTATGCCACTTGCAAAATATCTAACCCATAAAGTGCCTTTGGATAAGTATGAATATTTCAGTAGGTGTAAAAGTAATTTTATTGGGAAAGTTCATTATTTGGCGAGGGAATTCCATGTGAAACTATACGCGAAAACCGATAGCGCACGAATTGCGAAGCGACGGGTGCGATATCGGTTTTCAAGCGCAATTTAACGCGGAATGCATCTGTTAGGGTGATGAATTTTCCTTGGATCGCTTAATTGAATGAAAATAAGAAAAAAGGTAGGAATATTGTCTGTTTTTAACCTAAGCGCGTGACAAGAGACACGAAATAAGATCACTTAGCGTCGTTTTCAACTCGCAATTCCACGCTAAATACCTCGCTTCGTTAACCAATCAGAATGAGGAAAGGAAGGAAGAGGAAAAGGAAACTCTTTATTCGCACTATTTCAAGAGGTTACTACAGATTATAAAAGTCAGACTATATAAAAAACAGTAAATTACATCAATAATCAAAAGTAAAATGTGCACAGTGACCAATGTAGCATAGCTTTTGAGTTGGTCACTGTCACGTTTAATTAACTGGTATATCTTAACATTTACACAAGACTTACTCTACTTTGATTTTATATCAAAAGAACAAAGACTAAGAACAGAGAAACTAAAGTAAACTAAATCAATGCATTCTAAGAAGTAGATTGCGAAGTTAGCAGATATAGCTTGAATTGTTTGGAGAAGCGAAAATAACTTAATGCGGGATTTTATTCAATTATACGATTCTAACCAGAGTTTGTTCTTGTGTTATATCATATCACTCCTGAATGTAGGTTTTGCATATAGGATACTGTGGATTTGTTTACACCTTCTATATAGGCAAGCTGAATGTTTTGTAAATATGTTATAAACAACACTAGAGCAATCGTGGTAGAGGCATACAGTATAGTATTGCCTTTGGAACATAGGTTCCGCGGGAGGTAATTCATATATTATTGTATATATCATTTGTCATGCATGCTCCTCGTCATAACAATTTATCAGAGTGATTGACTCAGCTTGGTTACGTTTTCGCACGTAGATCATGCTCTCTGAGTGGTAAACTCTTTTCTTTTTTGCCCTACCGGTAGACAACTAGTTCAATATTGAGTGTTTTACCGAGCAGTGACTTATCCAACGATTTATACCCTTTTCGATTTTAGTTTCTTTCAAAGTGCATTGTATCATATTCATATGTATTTTGCGCTCAATAAGGAGGATAGTTATAAAGGGTATTATTATTGTTATTATAAATTTATTTTAAAGGGATTTGTAAGATTTGTTTCTTCATAATTGACTCATTTTTATGTAGATATTCAAGTATTAAAAATTAATCGCAAAAAGCACAACCATATTGACACTAGAGACTGCCCTTTTATACTGCGTATGGGTGGTCAAGTTTGATGTTAGTGACACCATCAGAAAAAACTTCAAATAAGAGAAAGTTTAGGTCCCTAAACACGATGATACATTAACGTAACCACACCATGTTGTGACAAGATCAGATCATTCCATCGCGTGATAATTTCGATGACCGTTGTTATACAAATGATAACAAGAGTCACGGATGTCCAAACATCATGATTTGTCTATTTCGCAACCTTAACGTTAGGGCTCGGAATCTTTCAACGCTAATTACTATAAGTGTTAAAAAAGGTACGGAACATTCTAAGTGACCATTAATAGTTGCTGTTAGTGTTCAAAACACACGGAACATTCCAAATAAACAGTAATTAAGTGACAAAAACTCCAGTTTTGGAGATCCAAAATGTACGAAACACAGACAGGTGGAGAGATAAGACTGACGCATGGCTCTGTTGTTGCCAGACAGAGAAGCAAGAGTAGTGGTGGATGAATGGAAGATTCGTTTTGAAAAGCAGCAAGTGTGAGTGCGTTCGTAAGGATGCTATAACTGAGACGAAAATTATTGTATGATTCTCTTAATCTCTGCAGTGTTACGTCAGTATAGTGCGATGTTGACATTTGAATGCAATGATTTACACAGACTGGTATTAGTTCACGTATCATGCACGAAGGTGTCAGCAGTATCCTTCCATACCTCCCACAATCCAATAAAAAGTGTTTCACTAATCGTTTACCGCAAGTATTAAGTGATTAAAAGTCTTGAAACCACTTATAGCCAATCAGGGACCATCAAGGAATCAATCAAATCATTTGACAGGAGATAAAGGAGGATCCCCGTTGCGAAAAGCCTTTAAGATTGGAGTCACTCTTGTGAACAGGAAAGCAATTCGGTCAATATATACTTGTATTTTTACCGATTCTTTTATTTTTATTTTTTGCTTTTACGGTTTTCACGTATTAAGAAATTTCGTATATCTGCGTGATATCATTTTTCCACCCATGTTGGTATCTTTTGACATTCAAGGTATCAAGATTTCTGTAACTCATTTGTAAGTGGCAATTTGATTTTAGAGTGCAAATACGCAATACGGTCTAATAAAAGACCAGAGAACGGTAAAATTGAATTAAAACAACTAAAGCATCAACAAAACCCTTTTCCCCAGTGACTCTTGAATCAAAACTATGAATCTAGGGGAGATGACAAGTTAAATGATGAAGTAACTGTGTGATAACCTTGCTCGATTTCCATAACAATTTTAGTTAAATCATGAACGATAATAATCTTAAAATCTTGCTTATATCAAAGGACAAGGTAAAGGATGTTGTGAGAGCGGTTCGCTTATGGTGTTTTTCTTAAGGAGGCGATTATTTTTCACCGCCTCTGCCCAGTGTAACGAGATTCTTAGCAACCATTCTTCGTCCGGCAATCTGTGACTCTAATCCCTAATCAGTGTGGCTAAAATTTTTAAGCACAGATTGTAATTATCTTTCTGAAAGTTCTCAAACCAAAAAGCTACAAGTTGCAGCGGAGACCCTAATATAATCAAAGATGATAGGCTTCGGCAGTTCAACTGACTCTTATTTGATCGTCATCCATCTCTCGGCGTTGTTTGGCTCGTTCTGTGCCCCCATTCGTCTAGTTCTTCGGTCACGGCAGGTGTTTTCATTGGCCCACTTCGACTGTTAAAAGACTCTGAAGCAGCCTCAACGAATCCATTTCCATGAATTGTGCCACTTCAATGTGGATGGCTCGACTGACATATTAATAAATAAAGGCTCATAACCATTACGCGTCCTTCCTTTCTTCGTAGTTGCCCCCGAGAGATAAAAACAATTGCCGCTTTAAATTTACGGGTAAAATAGCAGAACTGTTTTTTGAATGAAATTTTGCAACACAATTTCCTTAACGTGTCCTTCAATGCTTGTCTCATTTCAGCGATCTTCCAGCAATAAAGAATGACCGGGATTTAATGCTGAATTCAAGTAGATTAAAGTGATCCCGTATTGAGCAGCGAGAAAAACTGATGGTGTGAGATCGTTCAGATTGTATATAATATCAGTAATGAGATACAATGAATATATGAAGATCATATATTTTGAACTGCGGCATTAGATACGTATGACGCACGATCCTCGCAGTAGATAGCGCTATTAAAGCAATAGCGAAAATCAGACCTGAAAAAAATCAGGCCTGTACGGGACTCGAACCACTGACCTCTGCGATACT